TACCCTGAAAAAGAGCAGAACAGATAATGAGAAATACTCCATCCTTGACGTTCATTTGGCTTCAGCAAAACAATTTAATTCCGTAAGCTACTGGTCTGATTTCACACAATGACATTTCTTAAGTTCTTTACCAAAGATGAGGACCACCTGATAATCCATCCATACATACATTTTCTGTACCCACTTGTCCTATTCAGGGTCGCAGGGATCCAAAGCCTATCCTGGAAGCTATGGGCACAAGGCAGGGAACAACCCAGGATGGGGTGCCAACTGGTGTAGCAATTCTAGATTGCATTCAGCAGGTATGGCTATTTAATTCAATTATTTCAGATACGGAGAGGCCAGCACACTAACTCAGTGAGTAGCGCTGCTGCTTCACACCTCAAGTCTATCTGTCTGTGCGGACTTTGCATGTCCTTCTACCAATATTGCAGTCAAGCAGTCAAGTTTCCTCCCACAGTCCAAAGAGATACAGTTACGCTAAAAGGTGTCTCTAGGTCACCCATAGAGTGTGACTTGGGATGTGAGTGTGTGTGTCTGGAGAAGGAAGAACATCCCATGTAAGACCCAAGCCTTGTTTCCAGTGCTACCTGAGATACATAATTATTCAGCAAATTATTATTGCTAGTAAAATGGGGCAAAAAAGGACCTTGCAGGGAGCAGGAAAAAAAAAAACCAAAATAGCAAAGCGCCAGTCAGAGGGATGCAAAGCAATCTGAACTGTCAAACCTGATCACCGTATAATCGAGTGTTTTGTGGGCGATAGGCAACGGAGATGGAAGAAGCATTCTGAGTGGAATCCGGAAATGCGAGGCACAGGGCACTACGTGAGATCGCTAAGGTCACAAAGACTGACATACACCCTCCACTCGACAAGGCATGCAAGGAAAAACATTAAGAATGGACACGAACACATCTTGAGGCTGAATTTACATATGGTTTGTGGACAGATGAGATGAGACTGAATCTTGATGGAGCAGGTAGATGGGCCAGTGGATGGACACCTTCTTCAGGCACCAGCAAAGTGGTGCAGGAGTGATGTTGTGGGCTGCAGTTATCAGTGATGAACCTGTAAGACCTTTCTGACTTGCACTGACCCTAAGAAAATTAGTCAATTTCTGCCAAATTCAAAGATACCTTCTTCAAACACTGGTACAAGAAGAAGTCAGCAGCTTTCAAAAAGGTTATGATATTCCTGCAGGACAATGCCCCTTCCATGCATCAAAGTCTTCCACAGATTGGCCAAGAAAGGCTTGAAAGGTGATTGAGTTATGACCTGGCCCCCTTCATTACCTGACTTAACCCTCACTGAGAACTACTGGGCCTTATAAAAGTGTGAGATTTTCCATGGTAGCAGCTCATTTCTCAGAGCAGCCTCTGGGAGGCGGAACTAGCCGCCTCAGCCAGTGTAGGATGGGATCAAATCAAAAACTTGACTGGTTCAATGGACAACAGGCTCATGATGGTCATTGAGAAGGAAGGTTGCCAGACGGGACTTTAAACTCAGTAATGTGGACTGTACAGAATGACTGATACTTTGTCATTCTTTATGCAGAATGAATAATTGTTTTTATTTCTGTTGATTGTGAAGAGGTAAAAATCCACCTACTTTGTGATTTTCTAATAACTGTGCACACTAACAGTCAAGTGTTTTTCTTCTATTTTTGTTTGAGACAGAAAAATGTAACATTTTCTCCATACATCGCTAAATAAATATACTCAGAGCAAAAGAAAACTTCTGAATTTACTTGTACAAGTCTAACACCTAACTTTTGGTAAAAATTCTCTCTATAAATAGTACTTGCCTAGTAATTTGGCACTTATGAATGAAATAGGATTAACTATATGGGCATATGAGTATGTCTGTGGGGCGGGGGCTAGGGTTAGGCTTAGGGTTAGGCTTAAGGTTAGGCTTAAGGTTAGGCTTAGGGATGATGTTGAATTAAAGTTGTTCATTCATTTACAAATTTTGTGAGCCACCACTCAGCTCCATTCCTTCCTGATGTGACGTCATCTGCACTGTTGCTCAGGGCCACTTAACACTCTTAGTCCAGCCCTGCTGAAAAAACTTGAATATTACTTTCCTAAATGTTCAGCTGTTTATGTGAGTCTGGCAAGTATATTTTTTTTTCCCAAAAATTAAGTACAAAATTGAATATGAACATGAAAAATTGATTTATCAGCTTCTACCTGTAGATTCATGATCTGTGGTTATCATGAAAATTTATGATCTTAGCGTCATTGACAGCTCTATCAAAAGCAGCACATAAGTTGAGAAAAGCCTTAGGATTTGATCCCATTACCTTCTGGATATAGACAAAGAACCCTAAACCACCTCATTAGACGTCAAAAACTGATGAAAGAAGAAATTACAAGGAGGTGTAGGCACAGGATTTGTGAGGCATGCGCATTATTTGTGGCCATAAAGTTTTAGTCACTTTTAAGAACTTCCCTTCCAAACCTCCTTTCCTAACATCCGTAATATCACTTCACTCCCACTATTAGCTTTTGAAAGATTAAAGCAGGAGTACTGGCAGGTACATCATGTCTTCTAGGAATACTAATATGAGTCCCTTACAACTGCTCACCTACACCATCCAAACATCCATGCATGGTTCACTTCTCCAGATTATACAGGCCGGGCTGCTTTGAATATATCTGTATTATAAGAAGAGGCCTTAAATGCAGTATGTTGTTGGTTCACGTATTATTCAAGGACACCAGTTCGGAAATCCACGTCTTGTGAAACGTTGGCTCCTCATAATGCCCACAAACTGTTAATATTCTTCCCTCATCTCCACACTTCAAGGTCTTTGACTGTCGGATGTGTGTCGCCACCCTAAATTATCGCGCCGTACTTGACTTATCTCCGCTGACACTCACAGAGCCTCCTTGGGAATTCCACAAACACGGCCAACTTTCTCAGGCTAAATCCACACTCTGGGACGGGGGGGACTGGAGGTGGGGGTGTGATCTGACATCCATCAGAACGCCCAGTTAATCTGTCGGCCTGCATCCCGAAGTGTGACATTGTGTCATTTTCATCTGGAAGATTCCTTACTTTCGCACATGAAGCATTGAAGCGTAATTGCAAAATGCCCTTCCTTCAATGTTAATACCACTAAACAGCCACACCTTACATCAGTGTGGTCACCTGCATTTAAATTATCTGTACTGTCATTAGTAATTAAGTATTACAACTTGTGCTATAAATTGAATGATGAGTGCAATTTCATCACCGTGGACCTGTCACCTCTACATTGACCTCTACTGTACTATGCAGGGAAGGTTTCAATGTCATTTTAATTCCCAATACACATCCCCCTTAACTGAACTGCCCCTCTCATTGGTACTAGGACAACCCATCTGGCTACAGCATGCTGTACGTCTAGTAAACCGCAAAATGCTCAGCTTAATAGGTCCAGCATGCAGACGTATTAAACAAGCCACACGTCTCGGGCACAGAAAAACACCCCCGTCTCTCCGCCCAGACAAATCTGGGAATCATCTCTGTTATTTTGTGTTAAGTTATATTCATACAGTAAGAATAAACTGCACTGTGTTCCCAGTAACGAGGGGCATGTGCACTCGTGTCCCTCGAAAGTCAGCCGCCTCAATCAGATGTGAATTTGGGCAGCCTGGATATTCCCCGAAAGGTGAATCTCCATACTTGAGTTACATTATGGAGGTTCTCTATCCTCTGGCAACAAAGCCAGCCTGAAAAATCATTTACAGCTCAGGGGGCAGTATGGTGCAAAAACTGATTTCATTTCACTCATCACTGCAGGCAGGCCAACAACTTCAAAAGCGAAGAGACAAATGACTCACGTAGAAAGTTAACTCACGGCATAAACTCATACCACTAGGGCTTGCAGACCTGATAACGTTTACTGATTCCAATGTGTAATTAAATGGCAGCATTGATAAGCTCCTTGGCTATCTACATGTTATAAGGGGCACCATACATACAACAAATGAAACCATATAAAACAAATGAAACTTAACGTGTCTTCCATCATTGCAACAAGGGCCGAGAGAAAACAGGTCCAAACCGCAATAAAATTCTGCCAAAATGTTGACTTATCACTTATAAGTAACAGATTAATTGAGTTTTATTTAAAGTCCACTCTAATTAATACTGTTACTTTGTAACGAAGCGCACCACGTGGTCAACACAGTATTTTTGTTTGATGACTGGGGCGACATTTCGTACAGACGGTCTCCAAAGACTCTGGACAAATCACGCACTATCACCTGGGAGCACATCTCCACCTCTCCGTCTCCCGAAAAAGACACGTAGTAACAGTGTTTGGCCATCGCTTACATTGTAGCAGTCCAACGAAGCAAATTGTAAATAATTATGCTGGTAAATAAAGGTGCAGAGTGGCCAGTGACTGGCAAAAATACAACTGGATAACAGGGCCTTTGTGAGTTTTGAAGGTTTGTCCAGATATAGGCTACACTGTACACTGCACATCATTCGATGTGCTGCCTATCTGTTTTAGTGACAGTTGACAGTGACAGTGTAGCATATAAAGTTGGTGCATATCACTTATAACCGAACAACAAAAATGTATTTGCAGTCCATTAGAGTGTGAAAGTAAAAAATTAACATATAGTTGACCATCCAATTAATTTTACGCATAATCACAGAAACATAAGAAGCCACATTTTGGAATATTATAATAGGATAAAGAAAATACCTTAAAATTAATTCCAAATAAACTTATAAACAGCAAATCAGATTATGTAGTACTTTCCTTTATATGCTAACTGCCCAAAAGCGAAACGAGCACGCTAAATACACACATGAAAATTCCTCACCTTAAATATTAAAGCATCGCTATGACTAAAATAAAATAATATATATTTTTTTATGAGATGGTAAAATCCTATATGGCTTCTTGCTGACGGACTTAGCACAAAATAGGTTTATGTTTAAAGGCGATCCGTGTGAATCCATGATTTATATATGAGCAGAAGAAGCAGGCAGTACTTACCACTACTACTCATGACGCGAGGTTACCGGCGTGTATGGAAATCCTCGATTACCAAAAAATAAAAAAATAAAAAAACAACCACCCCCTAAAAATATAAAACACGGAATTAAAATTATTATTAATTTCGCGCTTAATATTTCGGTCGCTGATGGTATCAGTCTTGTTCAATAATGAGCTTGTAATTTCCCGGTGTTTAACAGGGTGTCATTCACTACGGCGTAGGGTCTCCACGTGAAAAAAGGCGAATACAGGATGCCGATTTCTTATAACACTGTTGCTTAGATTTATGTACATTTACGTTCAGTTTAATGAAGGCTTAAGTGAAGCCGGACCGTGATAAAGAGACCGCGCCGACCGCTTTCATCCCATCCGGCGAGCGCAGGGCTCCGTGGACTGACGGCTTTCAGCATCGCGCTCCGGACCCATTCCGGGCTGAGGTTCCGCCAAATGCCAGGCATCTGACATGCGGAGCCCGAAGTGGCTCAGCCGAGTGTGAAGTGACGGGCGGAGAGAGCCTCCTGCATGGGAGGTAGCCTGACACTGACTGTCCTTAAGGGGAAGTAAGACCTCCTCCGAAAAAGAGGCGCCGAGCGCCCACTGCCAATAAACGGCACGCCAAGTTTGCGAGCATTCAAGGGCGGAAATCCCTCCAAGTAATAAAACGAAAACGAGCAAAAACAAAACCGAAATTGATTGCATTGCTCTCCAATTATATTGGGCTGAAATGTAAACGGAATTTCTAAGTCTTGAGATTTAATTTAAAATGTTCCCTTCTATTCCATAGCTACAGTAGCTGCTACTTCGTATTCTTATGTTTTATTAAATTGTTTTTGTAGTATTGCTTCTCCTGAATATCTCGCTACTGTTACATATTTATTTTAATAACAATTATCCAGTTATCACACGGATAGACTCCCTTTTATACATAAAGAAATCTTCGACAACGTAAAGGTAAATGGGGCGACATCTAGTGGACTGGGAGCGTATTACACAATATCTCAATGTCAGAACAGTGGGCTCAATAATTGTATTTTATGTATAAACATAAATTCTGATACCAAGAGCTGAAACACAAATAGTAAGTAAAATACCATAATTCACTGTCTTGTGCCCACCACTTACATGAAGGGCTTTATGTGTTCCCTGTGGAAACAATTCAGCAATTGAATTAGAAATATACAATTGTGTGTGCAATGCATACATTTTTATAAAATAATAAAAATTAAGATAATGAGAATAAAACCTTATAGACTATGCCAGATAGATGTGGGCTACTAGTAATAATATCAAATATGCATTTCGAGCTGATTTAATGCTAAAAAGATCATTAATTACTGCCACTATAACAATGTCATCCTTTCCCCGTCTTCCAAAGCACTCATCTAGCACAGGGTTGTTGTATTAGCCTGCAGCCTATTGCAGGCAGCGTGGTACAAAAGGCCAGGTCACACACACACAAACACAAACACGCGTGCGCACAGTCTCACAGACACACAGACAGACACACACACAGAAACACGCGCGCGCACAGTCTCACAGACACACAAACACGCGTGCGCACAGTCTCACAGACACACAGACAGACACACACACAGAAACACGCGCGTGCACAGTCAGACAGACACACAGACACAGACAGACATACACACACAAACACGTGTGCGCACAGTCTCACAGACACACAGACAGACACACACACACAGACAGACACACACACAGAAACACGCGCGTGCACAGTCACACAGACACACAGACAGAGACACAGACAGACATACACACACAAACACACACGTGCACAGTCACACAGACAGACATACACACACACACAAACACGCGTGTGCACAGACACACAGACAGACACACACACAAACATGCGCATGCACAGTCAAACACAGACAGACACACACACAAACACACACGTGCACAGTCACACAGACACACAGACAGACATACACACAATTAAGGCCAGCCTGGTCCCTGACAGGGAAGAACAGACAACGAAAGAGCGTGTTCTCACGTAGAGGGGAGTTACTGGAACATCTCTGCACTGTCAGGAAAAAGTACCAATTTGTGCCTTTGAGGGTACAATTACTTGTCAGTGGGCTGTTCCCTCAAGGGTCTGCCAATTATACCCTAGTTGCATGTAATGTAACTTTAAATGTACAGAAATGGACTCTGAGGAACATTTTTGAACCATTGAGGGTACGAATCTATAGCAGGGCTGAAGTCTTTTTTTCTGACAGTGCGTAGGACCGAAAGCAGCCGTCGTCAATCTATGATTAAGATTAAGCTTCATCAACTTAGTCCGTCATCTATTACTGTGACCACAGGTGGTGCTGTTCCCTGCAGGGAAGCCTTTTCAATTGGCTCTCTGATTGAATTCATATATCAATTGTGGTTCCTTAGACATTTTATATTACAATAATCATGATATGTAGCAATTAACCCAACAGGCACCAGTTACGTAATTTTGCTGGCATAAACAGGGACCAGTTAGCATGGGTTGTTCTTTAGGCTCTGGGTTGGTATCCCCAACAACTGCTATATGTTTACATGGTCTGCATGTTCTCTTTGTGACCACATGGGGTCGCTATGGGACTCTAGCATTCTCTCACAGTCCAAAGACAGGTTTTCTGTGAAATGATATGTGTGTCATTTAATAGACTGGTGTCTCACCCAGAATATCGCATTTGCCCTGGGCAGAATATCCCAGAGCCCCCGACACACGGCTGCACTCAGGTTCTCATCCCTGAGGTGGTTTGTCGTGTGGTAGGTGCAGCAACGCGCTGTATTCAGTGCACACCCCCTTACCCCTTTTGAAACATTTGCTGATACAAGTGTCTGTTACAGACAGAAGCAGCAGCAAGCTATTATCTCATTGCAATGAAACTTTATTATACATTTCAATGGGGAAAGATGTTTATTTTGGTACCAAAGCAATGGTGTATATTCACTGGGTTTCAATGCTGCTCCTGTGACCGGAAGGTCGCTGGTTCAAATCTCAGGGTCGGCAGAATGATTTCAGAGTTGGGCCCCTGAACAGGGCCCTTAAACTCTAGTTGCTCCAGGGACTGACTGACCCTGACTGACTGACCCTGACTGACTGACCCTGACTGGCTGACCTTGCTTTCTTATGTATATTGCTTTGGATAAAAGCATGTGCTAAAAATGTAAATGTAATAATGTAAAGCCCTATCCACCCTGTGACTCTGAAAGGCACACTCCGTCTGATATTTCTCATTTTGTTTAGTCAATTGTGGCTGTTTTTTTTTTAAAGGAAACCCCTGCTGCTTCTGGAATATCCTAGAATCCCATTGATGTTACCTTAAACTATCTTTGTTGCATTATATAAGCGTGATTTTTAGTAACTACTCCTATTGTTAAAGTACGAGGGAGTACAAGGCATTAATTCACCGATTTCAGGATGGAGAAGAACTCCAATCGCTGCCACTCTGACCTCTGAAGTCTATTAGATGCTCTGTTCCATCTGTGGGAGATTAAGCCACAAGCCTGTCTCTCTCTGGTGTTTGGTTAGAGATACAGACCTCCTGTTTGGTGGAACGGGCCGCAACGTCAATCACAAGAAGCGGGACTGGGCTGTACGCTGATCTGAGAGCAAGCCTGACAGTCACCAGCAGTACCCATGGGGCTGGCGGTTAAGGGCCTCGCTCAAGGGCCCACAGACATGTGACTATTCTGCTCAAGTTGGGCCTCAAACCAGCGACCTTCTGACTACAGATGCAGAGGCGTCCATCACTGGGCCACATGCTTCCACCGTGTTGACGGCACCTGAAAATTGCTGGTGAGTCACTCACTTCAGACGTTGCCCGGAGCTCATGATATGAGATTTCATTCATAAGAAGACCTCTTCATGTGTTATTGATGCACACTTCAGAAAGTGCCTTATTAACAAGGCGCTGTGTCAGCTTGCAGCTACGGCTCATTTGGCAAAAGGTCTGTTTTCGTAAATAGTGTCAAGCCACATTCTCTGACTGATATAGATTTCTCATTTATCACTGTTTTCTGTATCTATGGCAGATTTTTTTTTTCTTCTGTAAATCACATTCACATGTTGTTGATCGCTCAGTTTTAAACTGTAAAATTACTCATTCCTTGTTGGATCTAGAACAGAATCCTCTGGGTTCTGGGGCTCTGTTGATGGCTTTAATGAGAGCCTTTGATCCTGGTCCTTGTGTCACTATTCAAGTGACAGCAACTAAGTGATCCCAGTTCCTGTCACCGGTTCTCTCTACACCCAACTGATCAAGACACCTTTTCACCACAGTTTTGTCCATCTGGAACATCCATCCAGAATATTGTGTACAGAACAGTTTACCTCCGTCAGAATTAATTTTTCAGCACAGAGACGAGGTGGACTTTAGGTAGCCATGATGGGAACGCACTCTCGACGCATTTCCTGCAACGCCTTAGTTGAACTAAAACGGTGGTAGTTGTTGCAGTTTGTTTGGACAAATTCCTGTCTGATTGTATCTAGGTTTGCTTTTTTTAGTCGCTAAAACTCCAGGGTCTTTATACTTTTGGAAAATGGTTTCCTTGCACAGACAATGCCCTAGAATATCCAACTAAGATCTTTGGTTTTCCAGAGATTACTTTTATAAAATACTGAGGCTAATGAGAAGAACACATCTTGTGTATGGTGCATATCTGTACAAGAAAAAGCTTAGTAACAAGAGGTTATGTAATAATGCTACATTGTGCAGTAACTCGATAGAATGTAGCAAACTGAATGATTGTAATAATAACAATTATAATAGTAATAGGGTAATGTTGTAATATAAAATTTTTATGTACTATAAATTTGTAACATTTTGTCGGGCTATTACATTATGTAGTGTAATTACATAATGTGTTCTTACATGGTGTGACAATGCATTATGTAATAACATCACATCATGTGATGAGAATTTGCTACATTTTGTCAAGTTACTACATTATGCAGCATTATTACATGATGTGTTGTAACAAGCCTTCCACAGAAATAAGTCCTATTTTTCTGATTAGAACGGGAACAGCCACGTTCCAGATGTTCCAGGACGCTCTTCTGAAATGAGTGGCAGGTTCTTTAAGCTGTTTTCATGCAGCGCAACCCAGTTTCCTTTGTGGTTCTTTGCATTCATTTGAGACAGTAAAGTGCATCCTTAAAAACGCATAACTCGGATATTTATGGTTCATGATTAATCAGCCTGTTTTACTTCCCATTAATGCACCACAGTGCACTGAGAGTTCTTATGCAGAGTGTGCATGTGATATGAGCTCATTTTATGGGGAAATATGCAGGGCTTCATCTACCAGCTGTGCTTTAGAACTCGCAAGTCCTTTAAGTTGCATGTGCAGGCCTGCTTTTGTTTTTGCAATATGTATGTTAATTCTTGAAAATCGCTCGGAAGGATACACCATTCATAAAAAAACAGTTACTTCAGCTACCAGCTTCCTGTAAAGGTTGGAAAAGGGCAGATAATTTCGGTTCTCCTCAAACGCTTACTGGCTACAGATTCCGTTTCGTAGTTTCTCACCAGATCAGTGTCATTTTGATGTGATTAAATTCAGATTTATTTCTTCATGTTTAAATTTTAGACGGTGGATTTTAATCACGGAGTCTTAAGGTCCACAAATTTGGATTTGACTCATCATTTTAATATGCTCATCTGGAAGCACCGCTAGATTCTTGAAAAATGTCTTATCTGGAACAAACGAGTGCATCTCAGCAGACGTAACCCTGGAGAACTGTTTTAATAATAAACTTTTGTTATTTAAACTTTTGCGTCAATCATTTTTCTTCCACATTATTTAACCTTTATGATGGAAATATACTTTGAATACAAATATAGTTCTATCAATAGTCTAGTATTTCACTGTTTATATCTGTGATCATTTGCAAGATTCATATTTCAGATGGTGCCCCCTTTCTGCCCTGGCATATTCCCTCAACTCCTATCTATATTAAAAAGGTTAAACACCTGGGTATGTAACATATGCATTCATTCATTTTTTTTCAGTGCCATTAAAACTATTGAAAATTGCAAATCTTCGTGTATTTTTTTCGGTAAGTCACTTAAAATATAACGGTAAGATGACTAATTAATGACTCATTAACGTTAATCCTGCATGTGGATTTTAAAGCAGAATTCGTTTATTAAGCAGAATTTATGAATTGTAGATGACAGGTAATTCACAACATTACTCTGGGAACCTGTATGTTTCTGTCTATGTATTTCTGTCTGTTGCCTGTGAACATGCACTGCTGTTTTATTTATTTTATAACAAAAAATAAAATAAAAATATTAGCTATTAGCTAGCTTAATCTCAAGTTTATCACATTTAATGGTATAGGAGAGAGTTTGAAATGGGGGGGTGTAGCACAATAAATTAAACACAATAAGAAGATTTATTGGGGGGATGAATGAAGCCTAATGAAATATTTTGGGGTACACCCCCCCCCATCCCGATCTCTATGCCTCTGATCGCTATGCATATTGAATTGACCTGCAAACCTACCAGCCATGAGCAGGTAATCAGGTGAGATGCAGTTACAGGTATTTAGAGGTATGAGATGAAAGGCAATGTTTGTGGATCCGCTTTGTTAGAGCCGAACGAAGGATATCGAGAGGCTATATTTGATCTCAACTCTCCTTGTGCGAAAAAAGTCATGAGCCAATAAAAGAGACACAATTTGTTACAATGTTACAGTGTGGTCTTGGTAACTTTCAACGTCTTAGAGAAAATATTTTTATAAATTACAATTTGGTGATGTTATTGGTAACATATCATATGCTATCCCTGTACCCTGGTTGGGATAACTGATTTGAAGATGAATGGAGGGACAGGTTTACCAGGAGTTATGGTCATAATTCTATAATATTACACAACCACAGGGTAGAACATGCATTACATTGTAGTGTTTTCATGGGTGTTTGGTTTGGTTTTGGTTTGTATCCCTGGTTTATCATGCCTATCAGAAACAGGAGCCTAAATTGTTGTGATTTCAGTACTTGTGAAACTCAGGCTTCTAATCACCTGGGTAATGGAGTTTTCCTTATAAAGATCCTGGCCTGAATGTGAGACGTCTCGGAGCACCCGACAGAAAAAAAAGCACAGAAATATTACAGCTAAACATTCACCTCTTTTGTTATATACGTATATTTCATTTTACTAGGAGCAATTCGTCAGCATAATGCATGTTGCTCGTCTACGGTGATCCGTCTCTGTTTGCACGCTGCTTGCATCTTTCGTAACTCAGCCCTGGAAAGTCTGCATGGAATTGAATTAAACTCCTCGCTGACTCACATTGATCGAGCGGGGTTAATGTGAGGAGACCTGCAGAAGCTAAGGCCGCAGCTCCTGCACTGTGCAAACTCCAGAGATAAGAGCTGCCTGATAACCGGCCTTGTATGCCTAGAGAATGATGGGGGCAGAGAAGCAGAAGAACAGATTAGGGAAGAGAATGTCAACCTGGAGGTTATTTGATCGAGTCCCATGATTGGTCATGCTGAAATTATTCTGCATTTCTCCAGGCAATTCCCAGATATGAAGACATTACGTCATCAACCAAATGCACTCCCCTGGAAGAATCAAAATCAGAATCATCTTTATTTCCCACGTACAGCCTGAGTCCCTTGGTGTGATTGCTGACATAGTAAAATTAATATAAATAAAAAATAACATGACATAGTGTATAGCATAGAGCAATAGCCACTGGCAATATAAATTATATACAAGGAAACAAAAGGTATTGTATGTGTTTATATATACAAAGTTCTGCCAGTTTAAATGTTTTATTTAGAAATTCTTGAATTTAGCTGAATGTGACTTTCCTTTTAATTGCTTATTTTAAAGTAAACCAAGTAACAGGGAGGTGCTCTAAAGTGAATTTGGTATTGAAGGTTTTTTGGGAATAATGTTTTCGATTTTGACCTCCTCCAGCCAGTGGGACAGAGAATAAAAGAAAATTCTCTTGACATCGTTTTACTGCAAAAGCTCAGATGACCCAGAAGGAGATTAAATGGAGACCCTTCTGGTTTTGAAGAGTTTATTGTATTTTGTAGAGTCTTTATTATACTTTTCTCACATGTGCTTCATCGATGCCCCAGGCTCCAGTTTGCGTCACGTGATCATGTGACCCTTCCCTTTCCCATCAGTCCAGGGTGACTTTTGTCCTGGTTCCCTGGATCACGAGAACCCACGTACAGTACGTCTCAGAGGCAATTCTCTACGCTGGACCGACATTCATGGTTCCAGATCTGATTCAAAAGCATGAATAGCTAGCTAGCCGCACCTGAAGGCAACGAAGCGAAAAACTGTAATTTAATAAATGACTCGGTGTGTTTGGCTGCAGAAATATATCTGAGAAAGGGCCTTGCACCTTAAATATGCTTCTTATATGTCCCACTGAATTCTAGTTTGCTCCAGCGGGCTCCTTTAATGACTGTCTTTCACCATTTTCTCTGTTTTTAAGAATAACAAAGCACATTGATCCTGGAACTCTTTCCCCTCGTGTTCGCAAAATACTGTGTTTCATGTCGGGTATCGAGCTACTTGGTCCATATTTTCTCATGCATTCACGGTTGTCATTGAATCCTGCTTAAACGTTGTGTAATTCACCTTTTAAAAGATGCTTTGGGGGCTAACTGGTGAATGTTGCAAATCTGCCTGTATGAGAGAGGGGGATAGTTTGGATGAGGAGAGACAGCCCCTTAATGGACCAGAAAACGCAGTACTAGGTGCTGCTTAGAATATACTCTGTGTGGATTTATTGTGTCAATTTTATCTTTGTTAGGAAAAAACTTAATTTCATTTCATCTCATAAAAGACACAGGAAATTAAATTCTGTGATTTACCTTGCGACTGTACGATGCAAGGACAGGAGAAAAAAAAACAATTACCACATGATACGCATTAAAGATATTTATTACTGAAATACAAACTTCATTGGACATTTGTTTAATAAATATGTGATCACGTGATCTCTGAACACTGACGTTTTGCTCAGCACAGCGATATGCAGACTCGTGTAAGTGGTTTAATGCTTACGGTAAACGTGCAGTTTGATCGCATGCAACAAGTAAGCTGAATTCTCCGTAATCAGCCGCAAATGAGATTTTTTTTTTAACAGCCTTTAAATATGCATCGAGCAGCTGGTCAGAAAAATAGCCTGATGATCAGACCGCTGAGCAGCAAAGGACCACAGGTACACAGGCCATTGTTACACCATGAGGAAATTGAAGCACATCCGGTTCAGGCTATCACTTATTAATTTTACAGAATATTTTAGCATGATATACTGTCTCAGTAACAACTGCACCATTAAGACTGTTTTTTTATTTGTTGGTGCCGTGTAGCGGATTATTTCAGTCAGACAGATTACGAAAAAGTATGAAATAAAAAAAAAGCTGCATGTGAAATGATTTCGCTTCTGCTACAGGCATGCAGTCTCGGTATTAGGTTCAGTTTCTAAGGATAGCAGTAAATTTTAGCGGAATCTACTTTCAATATTGCTTAAGGAATGCAAAGACAGCTGGTTAACTGCTGTGTTGATGTATTTCAAGCACGATATCGAACAATATGGCACAACAGTATACTATACAAACTACAAACTCACAGACTATAAATTCATATTCCGGGCTTTTTTGATGGGATATGTGCTGCAGACAGACTGCAGTGTTCAGTGCAACCACAAGAGGGCGACATGTACCAATAAAAGTGCATCGAAGTGACTGGAGAGGAACAAACGTGATCCACATAAACACAATTCACGTTGCACTTACATCGTCATTCTGAACATGCACAGCAAATTCTTCAGTCGTTTGTAGAGGCTGCACGTTTTGTTGATGCGTTTATGAGACAAATCGGTTCAGAAACAGGTTCAAAAAATGTGTTTAACCACGTTCTGTAGCCTACACGAAAGAGCAGCTCTGTATACATACACGGATCTCTAACTACTAGCCACTTAAGCTATGTGGGGGAACAAAAACGATGTTTGAAAAGTTCACCGACGCTTGGCAAGATTTCAAATAGCAGCCATTTGTGCAGATAAACAGATGCTAAATCGATGTGAAATAGCAGTAATTTACACATTCCTGTCCTAAACGGACTTTTCTGAGCGATTCAGCACAGTCGCACTTTTGACACAGTGGAAGGCTGCACTACACCATACAGACCTATAAACACACCACAGTACGAGGGCACAATTAACGCAGCTTCTCAACAGCATCAGATCAGTAAGACAGTAACATTCATGTAAAGAAAAACACTTGTGCGATGCTTCATTTACATATAAAAATACATGAACTTGCTATGTATATATTCTAGCTAGTCTTCCAGCAGTAACATGCCTATTAGTTTGTTTTCAATAGTCAGTGAAAAATGACGCAACGTGTGCGGGCAGTTGTAGCCTCTAAGGTCGGACTTTAGCAGTAAGACAACCTGAACGATTCTTCCGCGAAAATGCCGAATGGCTGTGATTATTATTAGTATTAGTATTATTATTATCTGAGGCTTAACCGTCTTTGGGAAAAGCGCCCGTCGTAAGTGGAGGTTTCACTCTCTGCACCTGTTTCTTCTCATCAGCGGCTTGTTAGTTTTTTCCCTCTTTCTTTACTGCGTCATCACTATCCGGCGGTCATCTGTTCGTTTAGACAAAGCCCCAGTGTTTATGGAATGTGTCTCAGTTTGACCCTTTTCCCCCCGTTTATCCAGAACAAACTGAATAAAGCTGTCAGATTTTGTTCGAATATAAAAGTCATTAATTTAACACAACGTTGAAACTAGTGGACAATTAAATGGATTAAATCGTTTTTTTTTTAATCAAACGATCTGAAATTTGATATTGAGTGTATAAATAAAAAAGATGTAAAAGTGTTAAGAGCGTTTGGCTTTTCATAAATAAGAACACTGAGGACGTCTCACATTACAAACTGAGGTAGATGACTGAAAATGAAATATTACTAAAATTACACTTTTTACACGTGAATCAAGTACATGCTTGCGCAGACGCTACACACAGCCCAACCTGTATATACACATTTCCTTTATGGCAAAGTTTCCAGAATTAAACACATACTCTGCACAAAAAAACTCCTTTCTATACCTGTGTGTGTTATTGGTCTTTTATTTGAAATAAAAAAATAATTACCAGCGAAACATGAGCTTTTTTAGAGACTGAGTTAAAGGGCAGTGGTTAAAGCTTTGATTGTTTCGGCAGGACTTTGAGTTTTCTGGGACAGCACATTCTCACCCTTTTCCAGGGTCCCTGCGTCCACATTCCTGGCACCCGAGTCGCACCTGTTCCTGGCCTGCAGATCACTGAGCCAGCTGGTCCCCCCGCATATGTATCCGTTGGTACTTCCCTGTTTGGTGAAGGACACCCTCCGCAGACACAGGATTTCCTGAAACGCAAACCTGAAGTCGGGGCTCCTGCAGTAGATGAGTGGGTTGAAGGCAGAGTTAGCGTAGCCTATCCAGTTTAGTATCCTGAAGGTCAGCTTGATGTTCTCGATCTTCCAGATGGCCGTCACCACGTTGAGGACGAAGAAGGGGAGCCAGCACAGGGTGAATATCCCCATGATCATCCCTAAGGTTTTCAGGGCCTTGTGCTCCCTCAGGCAAAATTTGGTCCTTTTTCCGTTCCTGGCCTCAATGCCATGGCTGTCCTTGGCCAGGCTGCTGCCGTGGCTGAGGAAACGGCCCTCGCACTTCTCGATTTTCCACAGCTGCTTCTTGGCCTCCTGGAAGACGCGGCTGTAGACGAAGACCATGACCACCAGGGGGATGTAGAAGGAGACGATAGAGGAGGCGATGGCGTAGGGGGCGTTGGTGTTGAACTCGCAGCAGCGGCTGTTGTTCATGCAGCGCAGGGATTCCGGTTCATCGGAGATCCACCACTTCATGTGGATGGGCAGGAAGGATATGAGGCCGGCCACCAGCCACACCATCAGCAGCACAACACGGGCCTTGCACTTGGTCAACAGCGTCTGGTAGCGGAACGGCGACGTGATAGCCAGGTAGCGGTCCAGCGCGATCACGCACAGTGTCTCGATGCTGGCCGTCACGCACAGCACGTCCACGGCCGTCCAGAACTCGCACCAGAAGCTGCCGAAGTGCCACGTGTCGAGGATGATGTAGCAGGCGCCGAAGGGAACCACCACCAGCCCCATGAGCAAGTCGGCGCAGGCCAGCGACGTGATGAAGTAGTTGGTGACCGTCTGCAGCCGCTGGAACTTGGCGATGGCCGTTATCACCAGCACATTACCGAAGACGATGCCCAGCACCAGCAGCGACATGAGCATGCCCAGAAGCCCCGCTTCCACGCTGCCGTATCCGGGGGCGACCGCGTCTGCAGAAGAGCCGTTCAGCTCGGCGGAGTCGTTTAATTCCACCCCTGCATCCGTACTTCCCATGATCTGACGTCCACGGTGGTAGGGTGATAAAAAAATAAATAATGGGAGAAACAGTGAGCATTTCACAAGGGGGACACGCTGGAGAAGGTTCCTTAACGAAAACACTTTCAGTACGTTCTCAAGGTACCGAAAACTCTAAGTGCTTCAGACGCAAAAGCCAAAAGTAGTAAACTTAAGCCCCGTCCACATCGGAATTTTATTCGACCGATTATAAAAGACGAATAAAAGGCATTTCATATATTTAATGTAGATGTTATTGGTTGCGGTCTTTCTTATCAGAAACCCAAGCATATTTCAGTATTTTTTTTTTTTAATTTTCAAAGATCTGTTACAAAGAACAAAGTAAATGAAAGATAAGTTCTTGTACTAACCTCTGAGACCCCACTCCTTCTGATCAGGTGTAATCCTTGGGAAAGGGAAAGCGATAATCTAAAGGAGTTCCCATAAGTGTTCAGACTCTCATTTCATTTAGCTGGCTGGGTTCTCTCTCTCTCTCTCTCTCTCTCTCTCTCTCTCTCTATCTATCTTGCACACTCGTAAAGTCAAAGGAAGCGCTCTGGCATCGCTTATGGCTCTCTGCCTATTTGTCAGAGCACTTATAACATGAGCCAGTGACATCAGACACCAACAGCAGCCAATCAGGGTGACAGAAAGAAAGGACTTTTTTATTTTTTTCCCCCCACATCGGCAGCACCAGTTGCAACTGCGCTGGTGCTGAAGTCAGAAAGTGGGTTTTTTTTGTGAGATTCGACTTTTTAGGGTTGCTGGGTGAAACGATTTAGGTTTGTCTTCTGCAGCAAAATCGAAAAAGAGAATATATCAAAAATTTGTATGCCAAGGTGTATTTCAGTCTGAAATTCTTCTACGTTTTTATAATACATTCATATTTACCATCATGAAGCTGACAGATTTCTTTTCGTCTGAGAGGCACATAGACAGTGTTTTTCAGAGGCTCTGCACTGCCTGCGCATTCTTCGCCTCATCAGCGTCGAATATTAATATGCAACAGCTGCATTAATACCCAGGGCTGTATAATTCAATTAAGTGTTTCTTCCCAGAGCTCAAGAAGTGCACAGCTTTGCCAATATAGCGCGGTACGACAGTAAGGCACATAGGATGAAAATGCATATGAAAGTTTATAAGTGAATAAGGAATATAATCATTTATATAATATAATAATAGTCGATATTCAGTTCTGGTTGTGTGCATGTTTTTATTCAGGAAAAAAGGTGTGACTCTGTTATGTTTGCAAAACCTTGGGGATTTTTGAATAAAATAATTTACCTCATTACAATATCCCTAAAAGGAAGGTAGTATGGCCCTATATAAGGGTCCTTACTAATCGCTGAGTTTTTAGTATTGCTGTAAAAGGCAGATTGAGATGTAATTTTCTGGCAGGCTTACATTACTATGCATGCCCTGACACAACTGGGAATGTGAGAAATGTCCTCACTGGCGATGGCCTCTGAGATTCTGTCGACGGCGCTTTCCTTGGTCTCCTGCCTCCGGCGACGTCCGCAGAGACTCTTGAATCGGCCCGGGTGCGAGAGAGTGATGAAGGTGTAATCAAACGCTCGACAGGCCAGCGACGCCGCGCAAACGGGAGAGGCAGCTGAGCCGCAGAAGCAGGCTCCCTCGTTAACCTACCTCCACTGTGATTAATTACCGCGTGATTCGCTGCCATTTAGAGCTCCGCGTCTGATTGGCTTTCCATATTTATGTCCGCACCATTTCTCTTAATCCAACAAGCTCTGTTCCCGTTATGCCCATGTTGTTTTATCTGGTCGTAAAACCCGAACGGCATGATCGTCCGCAATCTGTAGCCTAATCTCGCCGTTTTGTTGCAGTATCCATAAAATACGAGATTAATTATTCCCAGCTTGTACTAGCTCATACTTTCTTAACTTCTACCTTTTCATTCCTTTATATTTTACTGCCTTGCTCAGGGACAACGACGTCACATTGGATCTGAACCCATGACCTTCTGTCCACAGGTGCTCTGACTAAATTTAGTCCCCTTCCACTTATTCATGTTCGTTTCCGTGTGCATCATAGTAAGATTGGATAGTATGAAAAAGCCAGAAATCAGCATGACGGGCCAAAGTCCCACAGACCCGGTTTCTTTCAGGTTTTACCCTTAAAAGGCGCCGTTTCCTGGACCCCCCCTCATTATGTTATGGGTTTGGGTAGCTGTTAAGGGGCAGTAGTCTCCGATGTCGGCATCGGTGGCAGGATGAACGTGCCCCTTCCTTCACTGCCCCTCAGATGTGTCCTCAGCCACTTCCTGTGTGGGCGCCCCACTTCCTGTGAAAATGCCCTCGATGGCCAGCGCGATGTCGCTCCGTGCCACCAAAGACCCTTCCGCCGCGTGTTGCGTGACATTCGCGTGTCTGGCCCTGGCTGGTCCCCGCCAGGCCATGGCGAGACTCTGGGACCTTCGATGTTTTCGTAGGGAAACAGGATGACATTGCAGTCGTCATCTGCTGAGTTTGCCTTCTGTCTGTTTATACAGGCTGCTCTAATAGGGGTGACACAAGAGTTTCATCATTTCCCATCACATTATAATAATATCATACTTAATATCAGCTTTTCTTTGACTATTTGATGCAGTTATGCTCCTTGACTTACTCAAGGTAATAAAAACTACGAACAATGAACAAACAGCAACAAGAAAAGCAGAGCGGGAAATAGCATGCACACGTGGAAGATGCATGTATGGATTCTGAGTGGAAGGTAAAGCAGAGAGAGTGAGCATTGGACAGTTAGCATTCATACTAAATGTTTGCAGCCAACCAGCTTCACACTCCGTTAAGGGTTTTGTCTCTGTGCGTCCTCCAGAATGCTATGGCTCCTGCATTGATCCAATGCGAAATAGAGACCACAGCTGTTCTTTGTTACAAGCTGTGTCTTTAATTGTGTCTTTGGATCCTGCAGTCAGAAAGGAGGCGATTATAGCATTTACACACAAACGGAGCGGCAGCGATACAGGGGGAGTTCATCTCAGAGCCATAACTGCCCCGCAGGAATTGGAAACCCCTGCCCTCGTGCGAAACAAACTAGTTTTTTTGTAACACTTTACATTACGGGGCACAAATAATTTGTAATAACTCCGTTACTACTGAAGTACAAATTATGAACAAATATAGGTGGCTACTTGAGATAACAGATGCGTTATCATTATCATTCAGCAATGATGAACAAGCATGAGATCAGTATTTCACTTGTGTTGTTCGTTACTAGTTCAGAAAGGTTTACAGAATCAACAGATATAGTAAAAAAAAAAAAAAACAAACTGCTTGAGATAAATCATGTGTCACGATTTATTAATGATGATCCAACATGAGATCAGTATGTAACTAAGACTTAGTTTGTGGTTAATTAATGCATAAGTAATGGTATGTTGCTATATTTGTACTATTTGTATAGTGTTACTGTTTTTTTAATTAAAAATAATACTAAAGTGCTTATTTAGTCGAACTGGTGTGAAACCTGACTGCCGTTCACAAGTGGTACTTGTATATATGTCTTGTTTGGCATTCAAAGGCATCGTATTATTTATATAAATAGCCACAATAAAAAAAGGCTCTCAATGAGAAGAGTGAGTGGGAGAGTCATGTGACTGTGATGACCAATGAGAAGCGATCACCGGCTCTCACTGCCAACATCAGTAATTCTCTGTGTTTTTTTTTTTGTCTTGGTCCCTAGTAACTCAGACTGGACTGGAGTGCTGATGTCAGGCAAATGAAGCTCCTGCTTTCATTGACCCCTGTGTCATCTGCTCAGCTTTGTTTATTTTGTTATTTTTATCAAAAAAAAAGCACCTCTATGATCTGCGTGGCTCGACCCGCCGTGACTCCTGGTGTTCGCTGCCTGTGCCCTCAGTGATGTTATCATGTCCACCTTCTGCACCAAAGTAACAGTAATTGGACAAAAGCTGCTCCTTTTAAATTTATAGTTACTTTTAGTGGATGCTTTTGTCCAAAGTGACATACGAGTGAGCAAACAGCACATTACAGACATACGTGCTGTGGAGAAGACAGTAATGCGACTGGGCTGAGTTTCCAGTGGATACCCGGGTACAGGATTGGAAACAGGAGCTACACAGCAACTTCTAACAAAGCAAGAACCTAATAAAATTATTCCCTGACCAGAAATGCAACTTTTAAATTGACGTGCCCTGCTCGTCCGCTCCTCCTGTGTGCCACGCCGCCCATCTACCTCGTGTGGAATCCCCAGCTGTTTCTTGTTGTTGTCATTAGTCTAGTGTAAAGTCTGCGTTAGGTATGTTTTCCCCAGTCCGGTCATTAATGTTACGGTGTGTTTCGAGTGTGTCAGCCCGAATAAATCCCGTTTATGCGTTTCCACAGCTCCCTTCGCCTGCTTCCCCGTTCCAGATGTGACATAAATTTTCTGATTAGACGATTAGTTTTCCCAGAGAATCCATCTCTTTCCATAACCACCTGAAAGGTTACTGACTTCACGGGCCCTGCACTGATTTTCACCCCTGGGGGAAGAAAGTGTCAAGCTGGCTGCAATAAAACTGAGCTCAGACCATCTCATGGGACACCTGGTGACCTCACCCCTGCCGCCCATGGAGTGAGACATGGCCCACAGGCAGACCCGCACAGACCCTCTGCCCACACAGCAATCCTGCCCCTCCCCCACTCTCCACTTGCCCCAGGTCACGGAAAGTTCACACGGAAAGCCAAAATGGGACAGACACCGTCTAATGTTCATGTAACTGATACAAATATTCATGCTTGGTCCCAATTAAATAGTCTCAGTGATTTAACCGTCTTAAAACAGTATATCATAGTATTATAAATATACAGAAAGTTTGGGAAATCTTTACTTGTTGGAAGGGTCCTTGATGGTGCACATAGAGACCTAACAACCCCATTGTTAAAATTCAATATTGACTGTTAGTTTGGGGACCTGGCTGCCCAGTGATCTCTTAGTATACTTTCAAGGAGATAATGACTACAACATTGCAATAAGCACATTTACAATACTTACAGCAGACAGGAGTACAGATGGGAGTACAGAAAAGAGGACTAATGGGAGTATAGATAGGAGTACCGACAGGAGTACAGATAGGAGTTCTGACAGGAGTACCGACAGGAGTACAGATAGGAGTTCTGACAGGTACTGACAGGAGTACAGATAGGAGTACCGACAGGAGTACTGACAGGAGTACAGATAGGAGTACCGACAGGAGTACAGATAGGAGTACCGACAGGAGTACTGACAGGAGTACAGATAGGAGTTCTGACAGGAGTACAGATAGGAGTACCGACAGGAGTACAGATAGGAGTTCTGACAGGAGTACAGATAGGAGTACCGACAGGAGTANAGATAGGAGTTCTGACAGGAGTACAGATAGGAGTACCGACAGGAGTACAGATAGGAGTTCTGACAGGAGTACAGATAGGAGTACCGACAGGAGTAGGCTACCATGGGTACACGGTGCACCCAGCCACCCAGCACAGGACATTACAGTATATTAGAAACCTCCCAGAACAATAACACAAACAGTTACACGATGCCGTAAAAATCC